CACTCCACTACTACCATCCATCATATAACTACAACCTCCTCTCAGTTATCAACCACTTCGTCACCTTCTGGCTACTCGTCATCACTTACCTCCTCTACACACTACTCTTCCCCCTGGACCTACTCCACATGCTCTCGTATTGGCGTCTCGCCAACACTCACTACCTACTACCACTGCATCTACTTATCAACTACACACAACCACATTACATCACATACTTCAAACCGTAATCTAATACTCACTCTATTCGACACTTCACCTACTCATTCCACTACCCACTACTCCACCTCATCTTCTGGCTACCCGTCATCACCTACCTAACATACTCACTAACACTACCACTCGACGTTCTACAACTACGTTCACACCTACGCACTGCCGTGCTATCACCACTAGTACTACTCAACAACTACACACAACCACATGATATCACCTAATCACTCCACTACTACCATCCATCATATAACTACAACCTCCTCTAAGCCATCAACCTCTTCGTCACCTTCTGGCTACCCGTCATCACCTACCTAACACACTCTCTCACAATACCACTCGACGTTCTACACCTACGGTCACACCTACACACTGCCGTGCTCACACCACTGGTACTACTCAACAACTACACACAACCACATGATATCATCTAATCACTCAACTACTACCATCCATCATATAACTACAACCACTTCCTCCTTTGCATCCGCAAACCATTCCTCCTTTACCTCCTCACCTTCTGGTTACTCGCCATCATCTACCTCCTCTACGTCCTACTCTTCCCCCTGGACCTAATCCACATTTTCTCGCATTGGCGCCTCGCCTATAGTCATCACCTACAACCACTGCATCTACTCGCCGACAAGATACCCGCACCTACTACATTGTACTTCAAACCGTAATGTAATACTCACTCTATTCGACACCTCATCTACTCACTCCACTACCCACTATTCCACCTCACCTTCTGACTCATCGCCATCACCTACCTAACATACTCACTAACAATACCACTGGACGTTCTACACCTACGATCACACCTACGCACTGCCGTGCTCACACCACTATTGCTACTCAGCAACTACACACAACCACATGATATCACCTACTCACTCCACTACTACCATCCATCATATAACTACAACCTC